TACTAACCAAGACAATCCACAAAACACGCCGGCAGGCCGGCGGATTACAATCAGGAGTTGGGATTGTGCATTGAGTTTGGTCCTGTAAGAGATGATTCTGTTCGTCGGGCCCCCCCCCCTGGATCAAATCCACCCTGTTCACGCCGTCATGGACTTCTACCAGGGTTACTTGTGATTGCCTGCTACCTTTCGTTCACCCAGTATATATATATATACTGTATATTACAGAGATTGTTGGGCTTGCTACTTGTTATTTGATTGTTCAAGCATCGCTCACCCAGGATTATATCGTGAAGCTGATCAATGCCAATCGTCAGGAGAGAAGCAGCGCTGGCACTGGTAACATTGATGTTGAAAGCAACAAGACTATCAGGAGCTTTTTCCGATCATCATTGGCGCCCTGTACAAGAACTCCAAGCAGCATTGGAACAGTGCAGTAGGGCTCTCGGTTTGGCAATGCAGAAGAAAGTGCAAAGCAAGATGCACACAATATGGAGTGGAATTAGCGACATCATTCTTCTTGTGAATCCTTGTGACATTTTCTCCGAAAAAGAGCACCGCCCGTTACACTCATTTCTTGCAGGTGCACGGACTGACCTTCAATGTGCTGAAGCTGTTGATGGAGGCCGCCTTGGGTGAGGATGGCCAAGCTCATAGCGTAAGCCCGGGTGGACACACCGAGAGCATTTGTGCATCACACGTGGATGAGCAGGCAGACCCTCAGCTCTTTGACGAGTGCTCCGCAAAGCACCGAGAGGATGAAGAAGAGGAAGGGCGACGAGAGCAGGAGACCTTTTTTCTTTCATGAATGAGCAGTTCTGCAATTATTCGTACTGGTATTGGGAACATGTGTGTTGTCTTACCCTTGAAATAAACTTGTAATTTTACTAAACTACTAAACTGCTAAATTAGCATATTTTTGTTCTTGGCAATTTATTTCACATTTCCTTTTCCAGGAGCGTGCGAGAAAGTGGCAGGTGTTGCAAGAGATGCATGACTCAAAGGTGAAGGCGAGGCCTATGAACAGCGCAGAGGATCCTCACAACACCACCCCTGAGTGCCCTCCAAAAGGAAGCCCATGTTTTGCTCAGGTCGGAAAGGCAGCGTGAATCCAGCATCGTCAGATTCAGAGCTCCGAGAATTTCAATCAGAGCACCGAGAACAATTGGGTCATCTTGCATCATATGAGTCAAGGTGACTCGATGTACATGGAATAGCCTGCAGGCTGTGTCAGTCTTCTCGTGTCCATTTCCAGGACACGTCACCAGTCTCATTGGCAACGAATCCGAAAACTACTTTCCTATACAACAGACAATTGAACTTTATTTTGCTTGCAATGCCCGCGGGTATAACAGCAGGCATTGCATGAGACACAGTCTTGCTGGAAGCCAAAGCCTGGTTGCCAGAGTGCAGGCTGCTTCCAGGGCTCCGCAAGTGTGTCCAAATTGAGCAGTACGCACACGCTGTGTACGACATAGAAAGATTGCGCTTCGCTGTTGCACATATTGACATATTGGAAGCTTGCTAGCTGGGCAAGATCATTTGATCTTGACTCTCTTGGTGGCTTGAAGGTGTGTTCTGTGAATGTGATGATAGAACTTCAGCACAAGTAGCACTTGTGTGCACAATTCTTTTCTCATAGCAGTACTCTAGGGCCGTCAAAGTGAACACGCCTTTGACATTGCGAGTGTGAGCGAATGCGCATTCTGTGAGGCTGCGTTCCATTTTTCGAGTGCTCGGTGGGCTTCATTAGTTCTTGTTCTCAAAAGCTCTAAACGGCCCCCGCAATGAAACGACATTGCTGGCCCTGCCCAGCATTGCCATACTACATCTTTGCCCGCTTTTGCTATTCTGACTCTACATTTGGCACTCCACAGCCTCGAGACAAGTGCATAATCATGTGAGAAGGCACTGAACGCCAACAGAGTTGGAGTAAGAAAAGGTGCGAAGACTATATCTGACTGGATGCAATTAAATGCCACTACAATAACTGTGTAGTGCTGTTTCCATTTTCCATTTGACTTAGCATGTTATGACTAGATGGTGTTGTCGCTGTGTGCAATGGGTGGTTTGTCATTGCTTCGAATTGACCCGCCCACTTCGGTTGGACTTGTCGAGATTCGTGAGTTGGGAGCTTTGTATTCCGGCTTTTTGATTAACCTTGTGGGAAGTGGGTAAAAATGGGTGGGTGGGAGACTGGCTTTGCTTGCCTAGCTCAACTGGGTAGTTGTGACTATTGTGGTGGCAACCTGCAGTGTTGGGGCTCAGACGAGCCCTGTGTCTGTGCACCACCCATGGCATGAATCTTGGAAACTTGGAAGATCAGGTTCTTCAAACTCTAATTGTCCCTGTACAATCATGCAAGGACGCTACTAGGGGCTCCTGGCCTTACTAGTAACAAGAAGCTATTAGAAACAAGAATTCAATTTGTTCTTTTGCACACAAGTCTTTTAGCTATCCAGGCCCGGTGGTGCACACTTCAATCCATCGTGGACACGACCTCGGTGCAATATAGGGTACACGATCAATGGCCAATGGCCCCATGCTTTTGCTTTACCGGATGTAGACTGCTCGTGTTTGAGTATTTGGCCTGTCTTCAGTGTGGCAGACTGGTTCTTGGAAAGTGACCTCTAGCTCGTCACGATTTGAGGTCTTCATATTATGCGACCAGGAGTCTCAGGTGCGGAATCTCAACAACGACTGACTTTCTCTGCACGTTCTTGGTTGCAGCTGAACGAGTCACCGATAGAGCACGAGCACGGCGCGTGAGCACCGGGGCATGTGGCATGGTGAGGTCACAGCAGCCCGAGTCACCGGAGGTGAAGCCGATGAGGCGGTGACTGATGGCCCATGGCCAATGTGTTGAGCCGAATGAAGGCTTTCACAGATTTATTTATACATTTACTATTTTTTTGGGGGTAGGCCGAAAAGAGGTAGGCAGAGGTAGCTAGGTAGCTTAAGTAAGATTCTAGGTACAGGATGCTACTTGTACTAGCATGGACACAGGATAGCTCACGCGTTTTGTGCATGGACACCGATTTTCGTTTCACACGCTCCTTTGTTAGCTCTTTGTCATGTCAAGGCATGTCTGCTATTTGTGGGGAATTTTCTACTCCAGCCTGGGTATGCACAAAACGCATGTTCTTTCAATTTGGTGTTTATGGCCCAATCTGCAACGTTTCTCTGAGTTTTCAGTTGTTGAAGGCCAAAGAGTTGAATGCTTCCAGATCGCACATGGCTCAGTCCGAGTCCCGAGTATTCATGATAGAGAGAGGATAGCTTTCGATATTAAGGACTTAGACTTACCTTCGCTGTCATGCTGCACTTTCACCTTTTTCCAGCGGCAAACTGCTAGTGTAGCCAAGGTTCAACCACTCTAGGAAGTTGCAAAGCTGGAGAGAAGGCACAATTCGTCCTTGCCGCGCGATCTGACACAGTGAGACAATCCTGCAGTTTATGTTCTCCCTGGACAAAACTGCTTGTGTGCTTCCACCACTGAGCCTTTCAAATCTTGACAAAAGTGACATAAGCAGCTCTCTTATGACGCAGAAACTGACAGATGAGTAGAATTGGCAAGAAAACTGTCTCAGACTGAGCAAACAATCCTATCAAATGCAGTTGCGGCAGTTGCTGCTTGGTCACCCGGCCACAACCGAGAATCTGCCATGTCACAGAGCTACCCTCAGTTGAGCCAGTGAAGCTTTGGTGCAGACAAAACTCACCAGCAATCTGCCGGTGTGATGGTTTAGTCGAAGCAGCTCTATCAGGGCCCTATTCCGAAGTTCGTTTTTGTAGAATTTTGGACACTGAGGGTTGTGCCTTTGGGTCTCAGCGTGTCACAAAGTCCAATTATGTGGCCTTTAAATTCGGAATCCGAGGACTTTCCGACCGGCTCACGAGTGGTTCAGTAGCAGTCTCAGTCTTTTGCACACATTTGACGGCGCGAACACGCAATTGAAATGCGGAGGTTTTGTGTTTGGTACGTCGTTTTGGTCATCCTACTACTCCTAGAAGACACTTTAGGCGAACTACAATCATTGTACTGTAGCATCGTTTGGCGGGAGTGCATGCAAAATTCAAAAAGATGCAGGGCCGAATCTCTTAGAAGCAGAAGAAGTATGAAGAAGTTGCCAAAGGGAAAACCTTACCTTCTGAAAGTATTTGAGGCTGGAAGCAGGAACGATTCCTAGCAGTCTTGACGGTGCTGAGCTTTTTCACCCTTGCGATCACCTACCTCATTGCATCAGGTGCGGTGTTAGGATGCACTGAGTCAGCGAGCGGGACACTGACTCAACTAATGACACCAAATGTCTATTACTATAATATCAATCAATATCATTTACTGGACGACTCACTCATACTCACTCACTCTGTGCATAGGCCAAAAGTTGCGCCGCAAATCAGCATTGAAAGGCATCTCTGTGCACTTGCAAAAACATGGTCTATCACCAAGAAATTATGGTCCGATGGAGCGCAGAGGATGCTTATTTTTGCCCCCTCTGGTTTAGAGAGAATAAATGCCGCATCACCCAAAGTTGATCAGCGCATCCTGCTATCAAGTAAGCCCTGCATGCATGACTCTCTAACATACTTGCAAAGCAAGTCACCCAGTAATTGAATGGACATGACATGTTGGGCTATGGATTTCCCGCCAGGAATTCAGATGATGATTCAAGCACGCCGAGTTCGGCAAGTGCTAAAGTACCAGCTCTCAGCAGGGAGAAAAGCACATTTTTCAGCACATGACAAAATATATATGCCGATCTCATTCAGCTGCTTTACGCAGGAATCAGCTGACCCACCAGAACCAGGCCCTTTCTGTCCAGGCACTGATGAACATGCTGGACTGTACCGAGTGCGGATTCTCACAATAGCGAGGGCTCGGTTCTTCGTTGATATTGCCTGCTTGTCAACTTGAGATAGCTTGAGAGTCAGCCTGCCTGCATGGCCAGTCCATTGCAGGCTGTCTTAGAAGCCCGCCTGGAGATTTTCAGGAGCAAGCCTTTTGATGATTTTGATGGATAGTTTCAGGGGAGTGCGGTGGCACTTGCCAGTTTTGATCAACGGAATGCACATTTCCCTGAAACATAGATGGACACATCAGAACATCAGGAGTTTGGTAGAGCTTTCCCATGACCGAGAAAGCAACGATAGCGACTTTGAGGTGAAGGCAAGAGGGGAAGAAAGCGAATTCTTCCGATCAATTGTGGACTTTATGGAGGTATGGAGAAAGCTGATTCAAACTACAGTAGACAGTAGAGAGTATGATAGTGATTTGAAACTTTTGAAGAGGGAGAGAGGGAGGGAGGGAGAGAGGGAGGGAGGGAGAGAGAGAGAGAGACAGAACAGAACAGAACAGAACGGAACAGAACAGACCAGACCAGACCAGACCAGAACAGACCAGACCAGACCAGACCAGACCAGACCAGAGAAGAGAGAGAGAGAGAGAGAGAGACAAAAGCAGCAAGAGACTCCAAAGTCCAAAGAGACTCCGAGGTGCTTGTAGCTTTCTTCAAAGAGGTGATGGAGAGGACTGCATACAGCATTCTGCAGCATGCTCGCAGAAGATATGGAGGTAGTAGAGTGTGTCCAAGCATATAGAGCAAAGTTTGCTCTTAGGTTGGAGGCCATCGCAAGTAGGTTGGAGGCCACCGCATCATATATTTTAATCTATCCCTATTGACAGGATTTGGGATGCCATGAAGTCTGGCATGCTCGACGACGAGGCAACGAGTTTTGGGCTCATAGCGGCCAGGCCTTTTTTCAGAGATCATCAGAGCTATTAGGTTTGCTGTTTTCTTTTTTAAGGGAGAAGGTTTCGGAGAAGGCGCTACTTTCTGTAGTTTGTTTTGAGTACTACCAGTATGGCAGGAGACCAGAGTTCGTCTCAGGGACTTTCGCGACAGAAGGGAGCGGGATGCGCATGGTTGGGTTCCCAATGATTGCCCCAAGACATTCCCGTGCTGCTTTGTTGACATTCAAAACTCGACGTTGGACGGTATCTATCTCACAGCGGAAACCAAATGGCCCCCTCCATTGCGGACAACTGCCGATGTGACCGTCGGAGGTTCCGGAGCAGGTTCTGGTGGAATTTCCGGAGCTAGTTCCGGAGCACTCTGCAGATATGCTGTGTCTCTCTGACACGCTGGGGTGTTGCCACGGCTATATGCTGACGCGCTGTCGTGTTGGTGTATTGTGTTTAATGCTGAGCACGCGGACAGGTAGAAATGCTGACATGGTATGCTGGTGTGGTGTCACGCCGACGTGTTGTCAGGCCGTCAAGCTGACATCTTGTCATGCTTGCACGCTGGCATGGGTCACGCTAACGTTGAGATCCTGAAGTTGGGTCGTGCTGTCGTTCTGACTTGCTGGTTCGCGACAGGTTGCCTGTTTCTTGCTGCTCGCGGCGTTATGCGGCGTTGTCATGCTTGAAAATATGTAACACATTATGCACATGTGCTATGCAGGCGTATTGCCGTGTTGGGGTATGCTCGCATGGCGAATTGAAAAGGCTCACGCTTTTCAAAGCAGCATTGTTTGGCAAAGCAAGGGCACAACGCTTGTTGGTGAACTTCCGATATTACCGTTGAGC